CCCCAAAACCCCAAAACCCCAAAACCCCATGGGTGTAAATTTTTAAAGCATAGATATTCTAATTTTAAAAGTGAAAATCTTAATTGAAAATTTAGCTATCAGTAGTAGTTGTCCTATTGAGGAGGAGTTTATTGATTGTACTTTTATTAAGAGTATAAGTTATTATTATTTACTCCTGCAAAACCGTGGCCATACTTTTGCTCAGCTAGTTTATTCATTGTTTAGGCAACTGTTGATTGTTAGAATGGATTTTTCTGCCTATAAGCAAGATCAAATACACTTTGAACTGGCTACTATTGCGTTTATTGCTATTGCCTCATTGATTAGTTCTATTATTATTAGTATTTATCTGTTTAGTAGGATGCTTGGCTTGGCTTTTTGAATTGCTATGGTTTGCTCTTATTTGGCTATGGAGCATTACCAACTGTAGTTCCATCATCAATGATTTCTCCATCGAGAGCTGCTATTGATAGTTAAAGTCCTTCTAAATCTTCAACAAATCTATTTAAAGAAGTGGTATCTATATCACACTTGAGATTAACTTGCTTAGGAATCTCTTTGAGCTACTGAAGATCAGTTTCTAGAGCAGATTACTAAATCTTCTGATGATTAAGTGCATAATAATTCATTAAACCCACATCATCATTGGATTTACTAGCATGTTTAATAAGATCTACTGTTGAATTCAGGTTGATACATCTTCCATTAAGGAGCCTCACATAGGAATCAACTTCTTATAGATTTCTTTCCATAAATTAGTCAGCATTTATCATCATTTCTCGTTCTTTTTTATCTAATCGTTATCTCAGCTCTTCAAATGCATTCGCCATTTATTATTTAATCGCGTTAGTTTAATCTATAACTTCTCTTTTTCTTGATTCAAGTCTTTGGGATTGCAAATGAAGTTCATCAATTTTAGAATTAAGTTGGAGACCCAGTTCCTCTACCTTAGCCATTACTTGTGGATAAGCTTTTCTAACAGTGGCCACATTATGTCCTCTATGAGCACCATGAACTACACATTCAGAACATATTGGAGGGCAGATACAATCAAAACAAAAGTAATTAACTTCTTCATCTGGATGCTCTCTACAGGGCTCCCTCTCTGGCCTTAAATTTCTACGCATTGAATCATGTGCCTCATTATTATATGATGAAGAAGGATTGTGAGTGTAAAAGTTATGAGAACCTCTTAATGGATTTCCAACTGGCACATCCATTTAAGGGTTATTAAGATGATGATGATCATTCATATAAGGAGGCTATTACTTGCTTTTTCTTGCATTCTTAGGGTCTAATTCCTCATTAGGATACATGCTCAAGAGTTCAGTAGCTGAGGCTGGATCTAAAACTGTAGCTATTTCACACATTTCACATACCACTGTCTAAGTTAAGATAAATTATCAACAAAATACATTACCTAAAATGAATGCTGTGCTTTCTTATGTTCCCTATGCAAATTCTTAGAGGCACATGGAAGACATAAATTATGATCACAAGTGAGTATCAATAAATCATCAGGTGTGTTATGGCATTTTGCGCACATTAAATTCTTATCTACTGGTTCCTCTGACAAGTATTGCTAGGATTGAGCATGATGGTTGCTTCCTTTCATTTTTAATTTTTGAATTCAAATTCAATATTTATAAACAATATTTATCTCAGGGGTTTTGGGGTTTTGGGGTTTTGGGGGG